ACGCGCATCACGAGCTTTATGAAGACATCACGAGTCATTTCTACTCCAAGAAGCAAGGCGCGCCCACCTTCGGGTTGAATCCTCGGACCAGTGAAGGCATGACTGGCCAAGTTGAGAAGATCGCCGACTATCTGCCGCACGGGTCCTTGGAGTATCCTTTAGACAGGAAGTCAATGCCCAGCTTGGACTACGACCGATCCCTCAGGTATGTTTGACCCTAAACGAATATGTCAGATACACCCGAAGCTCACCGAAGGAAAAAAAACATGACAGTGTTTATTACGAATTTCCAACTACAGCCCCTCACAAGTCCATGCTCTTACGCGGGCTGAAGATGCCTACCACAGCTCTTGGTCGGTCTGACATAGAGCAGCTGAGGAACAAGTCCTCTCGCTCGGGTCGAGGCGGTTGGGGCGGCGCCCCTTCAGGACGGTATAATGACGGTGGGCGCGGCCGAGGCCGCGGAGGCGGCTACGGTGGTCGTGGTGCCTTTCACTACGCAGAATCTGGAGGCAGGGCCCAACAACACTCCTCACATTACCAGAACGGTTCCGCCTCCCGCGACCACTATGGCGCCCAGAAGGCACCACATCCGCCTTCAGCGTGGCAACCACCTCCACCAGGTCACCCTGGCTTTGGCATGGGTCTTCCTCCCCCACCCCCCCCAACACACTTCAACAATGGCCGCCCGAGTACCTATGGACTGTCTCATGGAAGTCACGAAGCATCTCCGCCATACCAGAACTCGTATCCCGGCCGAGAAGACTATGGATCAAGAGGTCGTGGAAGCTACCAGGCAAGAGGAGCTGGACGTAGTCAGAATTACCATGGCGATAGGCAACAGCCCTATCGGAGATGAGATTGGCAGAGGTTACAACCCGAATTTGCGGCTACTAGCGAATAAAAGTCAACCCAGATAGGGCTTCCACTGTAGGCTGCCATCAGACATGTTCCTTTGATCTCCGTCATCTCGATCTATATCGCTTCATCGTTGTATGACGAGTGCTACCGAGACACATTGCATGGTATGGCGAGCTTCGTGGCGAATTTGGCAAACTTGGCGGTTTCATGCAGTACTTGAGTTGCTATTTTTCCAGTCAACACGAAGGACGCACGGCCATGTTCAGCGTTCTATGTCATGTCGTCTAGATTGAATCAATATCCATGCGCACCCCGCATGATTCCCCTTTCCCCACGTAGGTACCTAGATAGGTACCTAAAGGCGACGGTACCTGGCCAAGCCAGCCAAGTGTGGACCCTCGCACCCATCACTGACCCACCCAATCTAGCCAGTATGTCGTGTACACACACACCCTGCACGCACCAGATGTCCGGCCTGAGCAACAAGACCTACCAACACACCCCATATCCAGGAACAATCGGTATGAACTTCGACGCTTCCTTGGCCAGCAGCGATGAACGGTGATGCAGGACTCGTCGGATGTCTGGTCGACAGGATCGCCACCCGAGTGAGTGAATCGGTCTCCTCCCCATGAAATCAACCTTGTCCCCTCTCTTGTGGCATTGATATGCTTACAGCTTGCCTTTGGACAGCTGCCACATCGTACCGGAACCCAACCCCGCGAACTAGATCAGGACGAAATAGTCGCTAGCACCCGAGTGACACTTGTCAAGATTAGCGCCACGAATATAGCAGCGATCCTAGACTCGCTGATCACCCTTCTTGAGGAGCTTGGTCGAGGTTACAAGAGCTTCTCTTCACATCCTAGCCACGTTGTCTCTTCCGAAGTCTACGTTTTAGCCCTGGCAAGTGACTGTTGCGCCGCGCATTGGGAGGCCGTCCGCTCCAATAGTTTGCGTAAACTGGTCAAGCAAACCCATACAAGGCGTGGGTCGCTGCAAGTTGTGCCCACGCCCCTGGATGATTCCCTGGTCTCGCGCCTACTCAATGTCCTGAGGAACCTTCTCAATCCGACCCCTGATGGCTTTGTTCTCCCCGCGCACACCATCCTCGGCCGTTGCTCTCGTCACTCAGAACGAGATGCTCGGCTCGAGACTGGCGCCGACAGTCTTTCTCAGGATGATGTCCTCGCGACTGACAAATACGATTTGACCATTTCACCAGTTTCCGTGGAAAGTCATGCGAAGACCCTTGTGGAGTATCTCACAGCCTCCTCGTGGACCAGCGTCTTCGATCATCTCAGGAAAGTCGTCTACACTATTCGGACGACTGGAGTAGCTCAGCAACAGCCTAGCCAGCCTCCTCCCGTGGGCGAAGATGACAGGGCCAACCTAGTCGCGATTCGCCTGATGTCCTTCTACTGGGTAGACAGCCAGAAACTTGGCCAGGTCATCCAAGAGATATGCTCCAGTTATCTCCATCTCCGAAGGCCATTCCAGACTGCAATCGCGGCTGTACTTCCCTTGCTGGTTGTTAACTGGCTTGAACGGCATCCTCATGAGTTTGTACAGTTGCACACACTGCATAAGCGGCTTGATGGTGGGGTTGATACGCTCTTTGACATGACACAAGCTATTGTGGATAATGGTCGAAAGAAAGGCATGATGTTCGCAATGCAAATCACATTGCTTCTTTTGCTCCCTGACGTGTTCGAGGTTGCGAGCAATCTACGTGAAGCCAAGAGCAGCAGCATGGCTAAGAAGACGGCATTCCTGGACGGACTGAGGAAATCATTGCGTAACAAAAATGAAGCAGCAGCCTACTGTCTAGTTTTGTTGTTACGTGCTGCTCGTCATTTTGATGCCGAGGACGACACAGCCATCGTGAGCTTTGCTCTCGACGTGCAGGATGAGGTCAAGGACGCAGTCTTCCGACGATCTGCACCTAACGCGGACGGTTCGCACTTCGAGCAGGACTTGCTGAGCGCAGCATTCGTGGGTCTAGCTCAACTCAATCCTGAGAGTGGCCTGGACGCGCTGGCTGAGACCTGTCTTGCTTCGGGCACACCTACGAGCTTTCGACGAGCTGTTATACAGGGCTGCAGTTACCTTGCGAGACAGAACGACTCCCACAGGTACGAAGCACTGTTTGGTACAGCAACTCCTTATATGTTGAGTCAGCTCAAGGTATGTCAATTACTAGCCTAGGATAGTGGAGATTCGTAATTTATCCTGGTCGGAAAGGCTGATAATACTACAGGACATTGCTGGACTGTTGTCAGATAACTCGACTCTCGACATCACCATAAAGGCCTTGGATCACCCTAAGGCCCTCATGGCTTGTAATGTGCTTGACTACCTGGAAGCTTCCCCGCAGTCACTTCTCGAAGTAGAAGAAAGAAAACCAGGGTCAACAGCACCAGCGCACAGCATGTTCGAGGCATTCCTGTGTCTTGTCTTGTCATGGGACCCTGGCGTAAGGGCACATGCTACTAGGGTAGCGAAACGGCTGTTTGTAGACCGTGCTGTTATCGAGGATCTCAGATCTCAGGGCACCCTCGACTCTTCGACCTTGAAGATCAGCTTCTGGAGGCGCAGGTCAGTTCGACACCCTCGTGCAAACCGCTGTGACTTTCCCTCCCGCTCCTTTTCTTAACGAGCTGATTCGAGTGTAGTTGTCGGCTCATTGTGAGCTTATGCGATCAAGTAATGGTAGGCGGAGGCAGCATAGCTGTCAGGGCAATCTATGACTATCTTGCTGCAAGAGTTGTGCTGTTGAACTCTCTGCGGGTAAGTGCTTTCGCTTCCGATTGAATAACCACCACTAACTTGACTAGGAACTATCTGAAGTACCCGGTGACATCCCTGAACTTCCGACAGCAGCCTCGAAGACCGAAACGACCCTGTTGGTGGCTTTGTGTTCGGCTGACGTTGAAACGTGTCGATTAGTGACGTCTCTGGTCGCCACCTCACTAGAGGCCAACGAAGCTGCAGAAGCAAGCCCTCAAGCTGCAAAAGTTCTAGCGCCTTTGCTTCGAAACAGTGACATATTCCGTGAGCTTGGGTCTGGTTCATTTCGTTTCACGGGCCTTGTCGCTTTTCAAAAGCGCATGCGAGGCTTGTTGAGACGGCTGCAATACCCAACCATTGGTATCCTCGCAGCGTGGGAGCATGCATTTGAGAGGTGGTTGCTTCTCTCCAGGGAAGTCTCCTCGACACCAGCAGATGCTATTGAAGACAAGGTATTTTCGGAATGGCGCAATCACTCTGGTTTTCTTGCATCTCTGGGTGGCATCTGCGTCGCCAACCCCGCCATCATTCTTGAGGAACCTACACTGAGCAGCGCGCGGTGGATTGACCAGTTACCTAATGACAATCATGAGGAACCACTCCTTGACCGGTATCTGAGGCTGAGTATTCAACTACTGGGTTGCAACAACATCAGGGTTCGAGAAGCGACCCGGGAGGTTCTGTCTAGCGACATCTCACCCACACTCTACCAACCTATGTTCAGGGCCCTCGAATCTGAGCTGGAGGTTCTCTTCACGGGAGCTTTAGCTCCAAGCGACCAAGCTCAGGACATTGAAGTCGCGTTTGCAGAGCAAGCAATTTCACTCCTGAAAGCTCTTGTTGAACGACTCGATAGCCCCTCAGATCTGGGCGCCGCATCATCTGTACATCTTGGTGCCTTGACTTTGAGCTTTACCAAGTTCATGGACAGTATGGCCGACAGCACAAGCACACTCAGGGTGAAAATCAAAGTCTGTCAGCTATGCGAAACTGTCAATAGGCGAAAAGAGCACCTTAATCTGAGGGATGATGTGCGTATCAGGAACCACTTGCTGGAATACATATTTGGCTGGATTGCTCGCCCACGAACGCCTCGTGGGGATCCACACCAGGGCGTCATGTTGGGACGTCCAGATGATGCCCAGCGAATGCAGAAGGACTTGGACCGAGCTTGCCTAAGATCACTGGCAGAGCTCACATTTCGCTTGCCGCTGCAACCTGGCGAAGGGCAGACGGACGCAGGCGCGAGTGAGTTGAAGGCTCAGATGTTTCATACCTACTTCAATCGCTTCTTGTCCTTGCTCAATCACGACTCGTCTGAAATCAACAAGGGCGACATCATGCCAACTGGGGTCAGCAGGGATGATACCGCATCAGCCTCCGAGTTAGCGATCACTATATTGTCCAATCTGTTGAGTGCAAATATCGATGTCGGCCTCAAGCATTCCCTGAACATCGGCTACCACGGCAATGTCGACATCAGGACAGCATTCGTCAAGGTGTTGTGCAATATACTGATCCAGGGCACAGAGTTCAGCAATCTGACCGACTCGGCCGTAAATGAGAAATACAACGAACTCTTGGATGTGAGTAGCCTTCTTGTAAGAACAACTTATCGAAGGAGGCGCTCATATATGCGAGTACAGTTACTTACCAAGGACATGACACTTGTCGCCGCCATGAGCATTGTATGCCCGAGTCACGAGGTTGACGAGTTGACCATTTCCCTCCTCACAATCTTCGAGCATCGAGGCCGAACCTTTGAATTGATTGAAACGCTAATCAAGCAAGAGATTGAACAAACTGGTAGGCTGCTCCAAGTGTCCATTGAAAAGACGCTTGCTCAACTGTTTTATGATCAGATAATGAGTCTGAAATCCTGAGACGGACTTGTGTCGCCACTAAAATGCTATCAGTATATGCGAAGTGGAAGGGACAGGCCTATCTCAAAGCAACACTGCAGAAGGTAGTTGAGCGATTGGTGCTCACCTCGAAAGATCTTGGTTTAGAGCTCGACCCTGCTCGGGTGACATCGAACGACGAGCTGCAGAAGAATGCCCTGCAGCTTCGAATCGTTGCCAAGGTATTCATAGACGACATCTGCGCGTCCTCGTCCAGCGTTCCAAGCTCATTCCGACAAATCTGCAGTATAGTAAGCTCACGAGGTCCTCCCCAATCCACTCAACCAGCTAATGCAGGGAGATATCCACAGCAGTACTTCCCAGATTCCAGGAGGCAAAGTACACAGCAGTTGGTGCATTTGTTTTTCTCCGATTTTTCTGCCCTGCTATCGTGGCGCCTGAGGTTGAGGGACTGCTGGACACGCCACCCTCTCGAGAATTGAGGCGGGGCTTACTTTTGATCGCCAAAGTGATCCAGAATCTGGCAAACAACGTCCTGTTCGGCGCGAAAGAGCCATACATGTTTCCCTTGAATGACTTTCTCACACAGAATATCTATCGTGTCACTACATTTCTTCGAGAGATATCGGTAAGCGATATAGTCACGATTGTTCGCCTGGCAGCTCGAGACCATTCAAACTGACACGCTGCACAGGTACCGCCAGACAGTCTGGATCATGAAAGTAGCATCGAATCTTTCGACTTCGGGTCCTGCGTTGCCTTGCATCGCTTCCTATACGACCACTGGGATCATATTAGGCAGAAGCTGGTCGGCCATGAACGTAGGGACCACGTGCGCTCACCAGCCGAGATTTCTCGAGTCCGCTCCCCTGTGCTCGAGCCACTACGTAACTTGATCACAAATCTAGGGCCGCCGCCCTTGGCAGTGACCTGGAACAGGCCGCAAGTCTCGACGAACACACCACCCTCATACTCTATGTTCCAAGACTTTATGTTGCGCAACGCGTTTCGTGGTACCGAGTCGTTCCTAACCGCCAGAGCCGTGTATGATGGGGGAGAGAGCAAGGTATGTCTAGCCGATTGATTGCCGAGAATCACTCTGGAGGTTTCAGGGAGGTACAACAGCACTGACTGTTTCCAATCAGGACGGACTTTCAATAATCTGTATCATATTGCGGCACATGGACTCGGAGAGCATTGACTATGAGACCTTGATCTTTTGCTATTTGAAGGTAAGCAGCCAAGAAGTAGCACTCTCCATGGTCGGACTGATCACGGTCCCTTCTGTGTGACTCCGAGCCTCCTCGATCTTGGCGCGTTGACCCTTCCGCAGATCGCCAGTCGCCTTTGGCATAAGCCCTTCGGGCTACTCATAGATGCAACATGCTATAATGGGCAGAATGAGCCCCAAGACGATCTCCTTCGGAAGCTAGACTCTCTCACGCCAGTCGAACTGAACCGCAATTTGACGAGAGTTTACGTATACAACATGAACAGTGCTTTCCGGTGAGCAAATGTGGGCTGAGATGTGCCCGATACATTCAAATTAACGTATGTTGCAGGAAATGCTTCCGTAGAATTCTTCGAGTCTCTGCCAAGACTGAGAGCAGCGTTTTCCACCCAAAAAATGTCGAGTACCATCTTATTGGGAGCCTGCAAGACTTGCAGGCTCACTTTCACTTGAGCCAGCTTCACCTACCGAAAGAGACAATCAGTGTTGTGACGGATACACGCTACGTTTTCCAGCCCATCACCAGGCTTTCAAAAACAAAGGGAAAAATTGAGGTTATCATCAAGGTTGGGAGCCAATTTGTCCAGGTTACGACAACCAAAAAGCAGGAGGTTTTCCCAGGCTACCGGCTTAGCACGACAGTCAACGACATTTTCCGCCTCGGGGAGGTTGATGAGGCTCCGACATCGATTCAAACCGAAGATGATTCGGCATTTGGACTCCGAGCCGATAACGGTCGCATTGTGATGTATTTCACCAGTCCGAAAAAGGTGGATGTTCTACAAACAATTCGCGGTGCTAAAGCCAAGTACAACAAAGACAGTCGATCACACAAGGCTTACGAGCGACTAATTCGACCACAAGACGTACCTGGGACTCTTCTCAACCTAGCATTAACAAATCTTTCAAGCGTCGACGATGTTCTCAGGCTAGCTTCCTATAATCTTCTTGGCTCATTGTGCAAAGCCTTCCGATTTAGTGCTGCCTCCAAAATGATGTGCTTGATCGGTAAGTTACATTGACTCAATCTGTTTTGGACCTTGCTCGTACTGATTATCCCTGAGACGTCTCGGTGCCCACATCTGCGTCACACTTCATCATTGCGATCAGTGAGCAGCTGGCACAGACAGAGCCACAGCTGACTTTCGACTTTCTCACCGAGTTTTTCGTGGGGTGGGAGAGCTTTTCTGACGACCAAAAGCCGATAAGCCTGGCGTATATGTCGCCGTGGCTTCCTGGCCTGCGAACTGCGATTCTTGCAAACGAGGCAGATGGCGACAGGGGTAAAGAAAAAATTGCTTCTTTGTTCCGGAAACTAATTGACTTGGCTGTGGCCGATCACTTCCTCACGTACACTCTGGAGCAGGTTGTTTGGCCCGCCATCTCGCAGGATGAAACGATCCTGGATCTTTTCCTGGAGGAACTAACAAAGGCTGCACTCAGCCTCAACCTTGCGGACGAGTCGCTAGATGCTCTTTCTTCGATAGTGGCCGGCATAGGAACTATCACCCTCCGGGCTAGGGTCATTTCCAGGCTACGAAAGGCGTTGAATCGAACCTCACTCCGCCCCACGAAAGCTTTGCCAGATAACGTTGTGTGGGCCGAGATCTGTGTATTACTTCACTTCTGCTTGTCACTCTCCTTCGACAATGGTGTCCAGGCGCAGTCCTTTCTTACCGGAGATCTTCCACATAGTCACCATGCTTGCCAACACTGGTTCGGTAGAGATCCGCATCCTGGTTCATCGTCTACTCGTCAACACTGTACACGCTGCTTGCACATCTTTCCTCCTCGAGGATCTGAGGGTAAACAAACTGCGAAG